TGTGTGTGTGTGTGTGTGTGTGTGTGTGTGTGTGTGTGTGTAGTGATTTTAAGATAGGGTCTCACTGTGTAGCCTTGGCTGTCCTGGAACTCAATTTGTAGACCAAGCTGGCCTTGAACTTGCAGAGATCTGCCTGCCTCTGTCCCCCAGTGCTGGGACTAAAGGCTAAACCAGTTGAAGGGAGAAAAGCATTTATCTGTCTTACAGGTCACAGTCCATCACGGAGGGAAGCCAGGGCAGGAACTCAAGGCAAGAGCCTGAATGCAGGAAATGAAGTACAGAGCATGGGAGAACACTGCTTACTGGCTTGCTCAGCTACCCTTCTTACACAGCCCGTACTGCCATAAGCAGGGATAGTATATCCCATAATGGATTCACGATCAAGAAAATGGCCCAAACATACCCACCAGCTAACCTGATGGAGGCAGTTCCTCAACTGAGGCTTCTCTTTCCAGGTATGTCTAGGTTGTGTCAGGTAAAAAAACCTAAGACAACACATTTCACTTTTCATTTATAAGCAACAGAAAAGAGAGATCCACATTGTCAACTATTAGGACATTCAGTATCAAGTAATACCTGATGGAATTTTAGGAATAAAAGCATTTTGTTCCACTGTCAGCAATAAAATCTTATTTTAATTGAAAACTGAAAGAAAATCTACCAAATTTGGAAACCCTTGAAGGACAAATGCACAAAATAGCTACACAATCCTTCACTCACAACCACCTGACCTTTAAAGTATTTTTCATGATGAAAACTTAGTCTCTCAAAAATAAATGCAAGCCTTCCTCATAAAAATAATTTATTTTATTAGGATTAGTACCATGATTAAGTATTTCTGGAAGGATGAATACAAAAGGCCTGCTTAGTTACTTAGTCTGGATTAAAATAACTAGAATTTGAGAATAAAAACCACAGTTTTATGTCTCACATCATTATGAAAATACTTTTGAAAGGACCATTTATATATATATATATATATATATATATATTTTGCCCATAAAGTACTCTACTACATGCTAACAGGAAGCAGGTTAGCTAGCTGTGAAGTTAAGGTATGTTTCTTGTATGCAGCTAGGTGCTGTGGGAGCTAGTAGACAGTATATTAAGAAAATGCACGCAGCTCGTGAAGGCAGAAAAGAAAAAGAACATTTTTAACCACTTATGGCAGTTCTTAACCAGCTCTGTGGTAGAAGGAAGAGTGATGTTTGGGAATGGCTGGCCAGTTCAGAGCCACTAAGGTTCAGGAATACAAGGTTTTCTACAAGTATCAAAGGGCTCTCTCTCTCTCTCTACACACACACACACACACACACACACACACACACACACACACACACACACACACACACACACACAAAATGTACCTTTCAAAATAACCAGGAAGCCCCTCATGAAAACACTATAATGGATGGAGAGCAGATATATGCATACCAAAAAAATGAATACCAGGATTAAATGCTGGCATCTGTTCCCTATTAACTGTGGAGAAAATATGTACTAAAGGAACTCAGGCAAAAGAGACACGATGGAGAAGATGAGCTGCAGTGTTCACTCCCACAGATGGCAAGGCAATACAAAAGAGGAGGACATCCTAGGAGTCAGCAGGATGAGCACCCTGCCTTGTGCGTTTGCTTGATAAAGAGGATTACAACATAGGTCATATGCTCATTGGTTATGCTCAGCATAGTAAAGCCTGATGTTACGTGAAGGGAGTTGCCTTGGCAAGTTACTTCCCTAAGCCTTTTGCCTTGGGGGTAGAGAGGATCTGTAACAGTGATGGGGCTGTGTGTAGTGTTTTTGAGTGGTTCAATTCAGAGAGCCTTTCAGAAGTAACTGTGAGCCAGTTTCAAAGCTCAGATACTTGGGCTTGATGAAGAGAACAGAAGGCAGCTCCCACTAGTTTGCTTCATGGAAGTACCTAAAATGGCCTTTCCCCTCCCTAAAAGGTAGCAGTTCAGGATGCAGAGTGATTGAGAAGCAGATGTTAACTTCTGGCCATGGAAAGGGCAAAACATTTCAGAGTTTCCGACATGATGCTAGGAAATGAGACGACACATTTAAACTACTGGCAATTCTGCCAATGGCCACTGACACAGTGGGAAAGAAGCTTTACTATTCTGAGCAGGTGGCCATCGTGGTAAAAGCATGCTGTAAACGACGTATCCGGCATCAGTATAGACCCTGAAGGAGGCAAGACAGGAACACACATGGAGATATGGCTTCTAAATGCTGTGGTCAAGGACATGGGTAGGGACACAGTCTAGAGGCATACAGTGAAGGCCTAGTGCCTGAAAAGACTTCCCTAACTGGATCAATCTGTGGACAACGAATGTGATCAAACTGTTAGGCTTCCCATTTCCACAGACAGTGTAAGCAACACTACAAGGAGGCACACCGAATGAAGCAGTGTCACAGAGCTCCCTTGCTTCTGTTGGCACGGCCACGGTCAGGAAAGGCAGGAATGGGGAACAATTAGGCTTCTGTTTTTTTAGAGTGCATTTGGAAGACCTTCAGTTTTTCTGAAACTCCTCCATCAACATCTAAAAGCTACACGGAAAAGAAATGGCAGAGTTCAGCATTTCAGCCAGCTACAAGTTTACACCCAGCATCTATTACATAACCCCCCAAATCTCACTGCAAAATCTACGTGTTCTCCATGACAACTGCTAGACTCATCATTCCATTTTTCCTTGGTCCTTTCTAAAGCCAAGTTGCAGAAAAGTACAAATACTTATATATTATACTTACACAGACAGCATGTTAAAAAAAAACTGTGTTTAAAGAAATACATTGCCACACTGTTTAAGGAAACAAGTGCTATTATGTTAACAACCACGTAGATGGGCATGTTACATGATACAATTAGAAAGCTATAATTGTATCTAAAGAATAGTATTTTTAAATTTGCAAAATGTTTATTATGTCTTTACAAGAGGGACACCTAGTGGCTAGCTTCTAAAATAGAACTAGAGCTCTTAGATACTAATTCACATTTTTAACAAAGGGCATGTCTCTATGATCTTAATTCTGTAAAGATGACAGATACTTTTGTAGAAAGCAAACAAAACAAAACACCCAACCAAGCAAAAGACACAAAACCCTAAGTCCAAAGGATGGCTTGAGAAGTCTAAAACTCACAGTTCTAAGCAGGAGGTATGAGAAAAATAAGCAGAAGGTCTTAGGGTTGCCTAGAACTGGGTCGGGGGTGGTGAAGCCACAGGAAGATGGACTTTGGGCAGAGGAAGGTGAAGTTTGGGCCCTGCTGGGGAATCAGTGGTTAGTCCATACAAGAATACAGGGTGAAAGTTGAGAGAAACCCACAGGCTGAGTACTCCTAACGAATGATCGGTGCCTTGTTGAGCCATCATGAGAGGCTTCCTCCGGCAGCAGATGGGAACAAATACAGAGACTCACAGCTAGACATTACTCAGAGAGATACTTTGGAACACACAGCTCTAAACAAGATGTCTCCATCAAATCCCTTCTCTCAGAGCAGGGAATCCCTCAGAAGAGGAGGCAGGAGTCGGGGAGACAGAGGGGCGTACAGAGGACACCAGGAGAACAAGGCTCTCTAAAACAACAGAGCAAGCTCATATGAACTCACAGACTGAAGCAGCCTTCAGAAGGCCTATAGAGGTCCGCACAGGTTCTCTGCATATATACTATAGCTTCAGTTAGTACTTTTATGGGACTCCTGAAAGTGTGAACAAGTGGGTCTCTGATTCTTGTACCTTCTCTTGGACTCTTTTTTTTGTTGGCTTGTCTTACTAACTTTGATATGATGGGTTTTGTTTTATCTTACTATATTTTATTTTGTTGTTTTTCATTGTTATCTTGTTAGAAGCCTGTTCTTTTCTAATGCGAGACAAAAAAGGGAGTGGATCCGGATGGGAGAGGAGGTGGGTAGGAACTGGGAGGAGCAGGAGGAAAAACTATATTCAGATCATACTGCATAAGAAGAGTCTATGTATAATAAAAGAGGCGGGGGAAAGACAGGATGAAATATGTCTTAAGTACAATATGTTTTAACTTAACTATTAATCTAACTGTATTCTTCTAATGCTGACATTTTATTTTAACTTTTATTTATTTTTATTAACTTTTTATTATTTTATGCATATGGGAGTTTTGTCTACATCTATGTCTGTGCACTGCATGAATGCCTGGTGCCTGGGGAGGCCAGAAGAAGGTGTTGGCTCTCTTAGAGCTCGAGTTACAGATGGTTCTATGCTGCCATTTGGGACCTGGGAATCAAGCCTAGGTCCTCTAGAAGAGCATTCAGTGTTCTTAACTGCTGAGCCATTTCTCCAGTCCACAAGATTTATTTTTTGTTATGTATATGTGGTGGTATTCTAATTGTACTGAAATGTGATTTTGATTGTATGTTAATAAATAAAGTTGCCCGGGGGTCAGAGCTATTAGAGCCATAAACAGAGTGTGGCGGTGGTGGCACACGCCTTTAATCCCATAGATCTCTGTGTGTTCAGGGATACAGCCAGCATTGGAGACATATGCCTTTAAGACCTGGGGGGCTGTACAGACAGACAGTGACAAGGCAGTCACGTGTTTGGGTTTACAACCAATGAGAAGGCAGAATGACTATGAAACGACTTACACACAGGGAAATAGCTCTCTTTCGGGAAGCTGGGACACCACAGGAGGAAGGGTGAGATTTTAGCTCTGAGCTCTGACCTCTTGGCTTTCTCTTTTACATTGTTTCTGTGTTTCTTATTTAATAAGACGGTTGGTTACATCTACATGTATATATGTCTGTGTGCAGATATGTACATGTACATGAAAATGCCTACAGAAGCCAGGAGAGGGAGTCAGACCTCCTGCAGTTGGAGTTACAGGAGGTTGTGAGCCATGTGATGTGAATGCTGATAATCAAACTTTGGTCCTCTGCAAGATCAATTAATTCTTAATTGCTCAGCCATCTTTCCAGCCTACAATACAACTTTTTGAAGTAATTTCCTAAGGTGTATGTAGTATAGAATGCCTTATTAGCTAGTATTATTCAACATAGAAATTCTGTTAATTTAATATAAAAAGTGAAGGCAAATTATTAAACTGCATTAAAATAACTGCCCTTTGATATTGTATTGTATTGGGCTATTTGCTTTTATATTAAATGGTTTCTAGACTGCTGTAATGTTGGTTTTTATGGTACTTTGGTAATTTTTCATTGCTCTTGACATGTTTACTTTGAGCAATTTTCTTTGCCTAATTTTCTATTGATCACCAAAATTTCAATACTAGAAAGCTTACTTGAACCAGCTGCAACTAGGTACTAAATTTATGCACAAGTAAACTCTGGGCAGGGGTAAAGTGTTTCTAACAAAGACTATAGGGGGGTTGGGGATTTAGCTCAATGGCAGAGCGGCAAGCGCAAGGTCTTGGGTTCGGTCCTCAGCTCCAGGAAAAAAAAAAAGACTATTGGGGCCCAGCCCCTTAATAGCCTTTTCCCAGGGTCCGTGGAAGAATCTACAACCAGCTAAGAATCTAATCTTAGATGATATCAAAAGAACCTACATACACAAAACTCTTTAGTCCATTCACTTTATTCTTCTGAGTCAGTTCTCTCTACACAGCTTCTTTTCTGCTCTCACACTTAGCTCCTTTCTTGCCTGTTTTTCTCTACATTTTTCTGCTGTTCTAAGTTCTATCTTAATTCTCCCATCTTAGTTCTTCTCATCTAGTTCTTCCCCATCTAGTGCTTCCCATCTTAATTCTTCCTCATCTTAATTCTCCCAAGCATCGGAGGTTTTCAGTTATATACCCATGCAATCAGCAATACTCTGGCCAAGGCCAGGTCACCAGGCTTGAATTCTTTCAGGGTCAAAAGGAGGGGGTGATAAGATCCATACAAAGAGCAGCTATCATTATCAACCCAAAAGGGAAGTGACTAATGGTAAATGAACCAACCAAGAGCTAAATTCGATTAATGGATCTAAGAAAGAGAATTTATGTGCTCGAACTATATTCTTAGAAGTGGTTCATTAAAACGTTAAGAGCCTATAAGTCACTAAGTCACGAGTGGAAACAAAACTGCCTTTTTTCCCCGTTGGCATTGAAATCTGTCCAAACTGTGCTGTTTTCTGGTAGGGCAGGGGAAGTGTACTTGGTAACTAGGCAACCTGTGTCAGGGCTAGATGTACCTGGTATGTAAAAAGCCCTTTTGTTCTGAGTTAATTCTTTTTTTTTTTTTTGGTTTTTTTGAGACAGGGTTTCTGTGTAGCTTTGGAGCCTGTCCTGGAACTCACTCTGTAGCCCAGGCTGGCCTCGAACTCACAGAGATCCACCTGCCTCTGCCTCCCGAGTGCTGGGATTAAAGGCGTGTGCCACCACCGCCCCGGCGCCTGAGTTAATTCTTAAAGGGAGATCTAGAACTAAAGCTGGCACTTGGAAGAAGAAAGGTTAAACTTAATTAGCACATCTTTCTGGCCTGGGTGGTTGTCTCACTGTGATGTTTTATCTTCCTTCAGGAACTAACAGATAGTCTGGGTGCTTATCTATCTGCAGTCTGTTCTTTGAAAGCCTGGGAAGTATCTCAGATAAAATACCTTTGTCTGAATGGATGGAACTAGAAAAAAATCATCCTGAGTGAGGTAACCCAAACCCAGAAAGGCAGTCATGGTATGTACTCACTCATAAGTGGATTCAATCAAAAAATGTTTAGTAGTTTATGCAATACTGAGTGGATTCAAGTTCTGATTTTCTGGAAAAAAAAAAAAAAAAAAAAAAAAACAAAAAAAAACCTTTATCTGGAGATGGTCCTGGCCGGATGTTGCTAATGCCGATAATTACAGAAAGGCCTGCCATTAGGGGTCTTGACTGTGTGACCGCTGTCACACAGTTGGAGGGGATGTTATCCTAATACTCCAATTGTATAGGGGAAACTGTGCCCAAAGAATGATCAACCACACTGTTAGAAGTTCTTGGGAAAGAATCAAGTGGGAAAGCTACAACAGCACACAAGAAATGCACTGTAGGACACAGCTGATACACTCAAAAGCCAGTGTCCCCAAGACTGCTTGAGGCTTGGCTTTATCCACTGGAAGAATTCTTGACTCTTTCAGGTAATAGCTTTTACCATTGTCAGCTGAATTCCTCCTTCATATTTCTGTGGCTTGCAGCATGTTTCCACGTCTCTCTATGGTGACATTCTTAGCTATTTCTTTCATAAAGGCCTCTTTGGCTTGAGGCTGCCCCAGACGAAGACACTGAAAGAGTTGCTCAAATGATGTTTAAAAAGTAAGGAAAATTTCTAGAATGTTCTGAATTAAAAATATTGAGCCATTTGATGCATTTCAGATTTTGAATTTTCAGATCAGGGGTGCTCTACTGGTAAAGTTTATGCAAATATTATAAAACTTAAACAATTCCCAAATCTGAAACACATCAGTTTCAAGTTTCAATTAGAGGCATTCAGCCCAATTGGGAGCATGCTGCAGTCTAAGCCATCTCCAGTGAGAATCACACCTCGGTCAAAGTCATTGCTCAGGTGACAAGCACCTTCCCTCTGCACCTCCACAATTCCTGTTAACCAAAACAGGGGCCACACCCACTCTCATGCTCTCTTCTTCAAGTAAGGAACAGGTCCGATACACAGTTTCCACTAGCCATATCCAAAAGACAATGCAAGGCCAGCAGTGTAGATAAAACACAGATTTTCACATGATGGTGTCAGAATACTTTTTAAATATTAAACTTCCAGCCACAGATACATAAATGAACTGTGTATACCTGTCAATCACAAACACATGCAGCCTAAATTTCAGAAAGGAACAAAACAGTACACACTACCCATACCTGCTCTACTCAACTACCCCCTACCACAGACCACCACAGTCCTATGTTGGAAACTTTACCATTACATTCATACCTACTGTCCTACTTCTGGATAGTGATGAGCATTAGATGTGGCCAGAAAGAAGATGGAGCCCCATGATGGCAATGCCAGTTTCATAGGGAAGAGAAGAGAGAGCATAGCCAGCATGTATCTACGCTTACGTGTTGTCTTCTACATGCTGTAGAGGCAAGAAGGCCCTTAGAAGACCCTGGTACCAAGATCTTAGACTTCTAAGCCCCCAGAAGAACAAGCCAAAACTTCTTTTAAGAATTACCTAGCCAGTGATTATTCTGTTACAGTACAGAAAAGAGACTAAGACACCTTCCCCAAAGTTGCTGCCCTTGTACAATACTCCAGTCCCTTCTTGCCAGTGGCTTCACTTTTGTGGTTTCATTACCCACAGCTGTGAGCTGAATAGTCAAGTGGAAAATTCCCCAAATAAACAGTTCCTAAGTTTCAAACTGCACAGCTCTGAGCAGTAAGATGAAATTTGCTCTCTGTCCCATTAGAGGATGTACATGATCCCTTGTCTGCCACATTCAAACTGTGTATGCTACCTGCCTGTGCACCAGGAGTTGCTATCTTAGTCACTACTGTTACAGTGTGGCTATTAACTTAATGCTTATTTTATTTAACAATGTCTTCAAAGCGGAAGAGTAGTGATGCTAGCAACGTGAATATAACAACAAGAGTATAAAATGCTTTCTTTAAATAAAGCACCGAAAGCCTTCAATTTAAGGGGTCGGTGGGCAAAGTAAAAAGTCATCTGCTGAGTTCCTGAGGTCCAGGGTAAGAACAAATTGTGCCGACTTTGCTAGTATACCTTAAACTTAAGGGATAACTTCAGCACCTGTCTT